AGAAGATGAATTTAGAAATAATTGAAAAATATAAGAATGCAGTATAATAAAATAATCAAAAATAATCAATTTTTTAATTTGTTATTTTTGTTGACTAAATCAGCCCTCTATTAAGTCTTCTAAAATATATATGATTGATTGTTTCTTTTGTATATGCATCTTGTTGAGTAATTTTGTAATAAATACTTTATATATACTTTAATTTTTTTTATATTATTGGGAAAAATATAATACCAAATATTTTATATATATATATATATATATATATATATATATATGATAAAAAGTTGTTTCTTGGGCATCCATCCAATAATTAAAAAAACAGTTTTAATGCAAATGTTTGAATTAAGAGAACATACGTTTCGGGTCCAGATTTGACCCATCTTCAGTGCATACAAATAAATTTTTTAAAAAAATATAACACAAAGAACACACAAAAATGTAAACGAAAAAATAAGTAAGAAATAAAAAATTGAAAAAACATCAAGTTATGAAAATTGTAAAAATTAAAATAAATAATATGTTTTTATTGTAAAAAAGGTTATTCCAAAAACACATCTTGTTAGTTTGGAGACAGAATTACGTATGATACGTAATTCTGTCTCAAACTAACAAGATGTGTTTTTTGGAATAACCTTTTTTAATTACAATAAAACATATATTTTATTTTAATTTTACAATTTTCATAACTTGATGTTTTTTCAATTTTTTATTTCTTACTTATTTTTTCGTTTACATTTTTGTGTTGTTCTTTTTGTATATTTCTTTAAAAAATTTATTTGTATGCACTGAAGATGGGTCAAATCTGGACCCAAACGTATGTTCTCTAATTAAAACATTTTGCATTAACTGTTTTTTTTAATTATTGGATGGATGCCAAGAAACAATTTTTATCATATTATTTCACCATCTGAAGAAAAACCTCTCGCTTTATATATATATAATATATTATATATATATATATATATATATATAATAAAATATATAGTTGATACATTACATTGTTTATACAGATTATATATTTTTTTACCTAGTTGTTCATGTTCTGGAATCCAAACTACAATTTCATATAATGAATCACACACAAAATATGATATTACTAAATCTCATTTTTCAAATTACTTAAACTGATAGATCATTCTTTCAAGTTGAAACTAAAAATGGCAATGCGAATTATTTCGATCTGCGCTCCTTTAAAATAAAGTTAATTCTTGACTAGATCAGAATATAAAAGTTTGTTCTAATAGTTACATTAATGATATATACTACATCTAGTGCCAATTTAAGTAATGCACATCATGTGCTGAAGTTGTATCATTTTGTATGACTTCATTTTAATAAACACAAAATGAGACTAAAATTCAAAATCACATTTCATAAAATTTAATTTTTGATATGCGCTTGTAGACCTTATGCTTGTATAAGGTCTATGTATGCATCTTAAAACCAGCAAAAACAGTGGTGAAAACTGCAATTAGAAATAAGAAAAGTAATAAGAATAAAACAATGTTAACACAATAATTTAATTTCTTGTCTTTTAGTTAAAATTTAAGTTGTATACTTACATAGTTACACCTAAGATATTTCATTTTATACAGGCACAAAAATTATGCATTATAAAAATAATTTCCCTTTCTCAACGAAACATACATAGCTTTTACTAAAATATCATATTCTTAACTAAAAAACATTCAACATAAAGCATTCAAAACAATTCACATAACAATTTCGTTAATAAAAGAAACTCACTGAACAATATCATTAAAAGATTTAAGGTAAGCTTCATGTAACTTATTTACAAAATCAGAGTCTGTTTTCAAAAGATATGATACTGCCTGCAAAAGCTGATTTCTAGTCAAAGGTTCAGGTCGTAAAGAAACATCTGCTTGCTCTAAAGTATTGGAATAATTATTATCCTGACTGGTTTTTGAAGTAAACATTGTAGGTGGCATAAGAGCTGGTGTTTGGTTTGTAGTGTTATTTAAAGGTACTGATAATGGCCGGGATTCTTCACCAACTGCATTCTTCATTGAAATTTGATTCGGAGATGTAATTCGTATGAAATTCAAATTGTTCTCATTCAGTGAATGCTGTTTATCAATATCGGCAACCTTGTTTGTTTTTCTCCGACCTGCTTCGACTGTATTTAAACCAGTATTGTTCTGTGGTGTAACACACCTTTGTTGTTTTTCAATATGCTCCACACTGTGTGCTGGGTTTGACATAAGCCTTTGCAATATATTCGGATCAGCATTTAAAGGCTCCGCTTTTCGTGGAGCAAATAAAGGTAAAGTATTTTGACTGGATGTGGTAGCCTTTGCAAAGAAGTCCATCACACTCTGTGATGTTAAATCTGTTTTGGGTGCTCCAGAAATTTCTTGAGCAGTAGGTGGTTGTTTCTTCTGATTGTGATAATCCTCTTGAGCTCGACTTAACATAGTAAATATATCAGAATTTTCGCCCATCGCCGCACCATTGGAGATCATATTTTCTGTAGGAACAATGGATTGCTTTTGCAAATCCTCAATTAATCTAGACAAAAGTTGAGCGACTTTTACACAATCTTCTCTGTCATAAAACCAGAAGCCGCGAATACAATTATTAGAATTCCTATAGAGTAAGAACGGTTCCTGTAATTGTAAATCCAATCCTTTAACGACCGGCTCCACTAAATTACTTGTATTGAGTCGGTTGATTATCAATATGCCGTGATAGGGCTCACCGTTTCTCGAATAAATAAACAACGCCCCTTCGATATTAGTTCTTTCCCATTCATTCTCTTCGGAATTAAATGAATAAAATGCTACATGGCGAGCAGTTTCTATAATATCTTTTGCGTACGGGTCCACTCTTTTTAAAGCTGTCACATTCATACGCAACTCCGTTACGTCCGCCATGTTTTAACAATAAAATATATAGTAAATATTAATTTTTTTTATATTTGTGAATATGCTTTAAAATCAATATTAATAAGATAAATATTATTTTGAATTATGTCCAGATTTTCTGGATTTAAAACTAGCCGCACTATTTGCCTACAACTGCTTTGGCTTCTATGAGCGAAATACCTTATGTCAATCAATGGCTTTTCATATGAAAATGCGGCTAAATATGAAATTATATAACATTAGGGTATGTGCATGTTTACACATAAATCATTATATATATATATTTAAATAATTCAATATCGATCAGGACGTTATGTTAAATAGAGTTTAATTAAACCCTTTGAAACATTTCATGCTTTTTTCAAGAAAGTTATGTGTAATACCGCTAGTGCATTACAAGAATAATTTGATTCAAGATGTATCTCGGTGGCATTTGATTAATCAAGAATAAAAATTTTGTAAAAGCATACAATAAAATGTATGGCGAAAAGAATAAAAATGTGTTTGGTTTGGACAAAAAACAATTATTCTAGCGCCTTCTATCGCTTTCATAACCGAAACATTGTCTAATTCGATAATGCTAGGGTCACAGACAAAAGATGGCAGGGCATATAACATTTGTGAAAACAGTACGTTTTTTTAAAAACTTTGTGCATGATGTAAATAAATAGTTCAATTATTTATTGTTATTTATTTCATAAATTTGGATGCAAATAAACATTCAAGGATAATATATTAACTATTTACCGTTTACAAATGTGGTTTCCAACCTGTGGGTCGCGCTTCCTCATGGAGGGTCCAAAAAGGCTCTTGTTACAGCGTACGGCAGTTTTCGAAGTACTATTTTCGAAAATTAATTAAAAATGTTGAAACTAAATAAAAAAAAATGAATGAACGGATATAATTATTTTTTATATTATTAGGTAATATGATTTATTAATTTGTAGCTTAACAAATAAATAATAATATCGGAATTATGGAATTAGATAAAGAAAATTAAGAGCAGCAAAACCACTTTTTCAAAAAAAAAAGAAACTAGAGAAGCGTTACAAAAAGGTTGGAAACCACTGATTTACGAGATAAGCATATTTATTACAAATGTGCTTGAAATTTCAATTAAAATCTTTATAATTTTCTCATAAACATTTTATTATTTAACATGATAATGAGTATTTATTACTACAAATATCATAATTTAAAATTTAAATTTATTAATATTATTTTACTTAAGTAAATGCGATAAAATTGTAAAAAAAAACATTAATATAGTATTTGTATATTTAATAAATACGAAAATTCGTACCTTTTTATTTACTACTACGTATTTTATGAAGTTTATTACATATTTTAAGAAACGTAGAAAAAGCTTCCCGATATCTAATATCTAAAAATCGATTTAGTAAAATTTGAGATTTAATTTAATTAATTGCTGCAGGTCCTTATTGTATTTCGAAAAATGACTTTTAAATTTTTGAAATCAGTGCAGCCGTTTTTGAGAAAACGTCGACAAAAAGTTAAATTTTGTTTCACATACATGTACATTAGGGTGGTCCTTAACATGGACATTTTCGAATTTCCTTGCTCCCAAGGGCTTAAATGTTTTCAAATTGACAAAAAAAATTCTCTAAAAGTTTTAGCTCTTAATATTAACTTTTAGATAGTGCGCAATTCAATCAAAGCTTCGTATGGAAATAACATGGAAAAAAATTCGAAAATTTTAAAAATGTTTTTTAGATATAACTTAGCGAACAAATGAATGAGTTCTCAAGAAGACAAATATTTTGAGGGCGAACTTATAGAGGGAGCAAGAAAATTTTAAAATGTCCATGTTAAGGACCACCATAATGCAATTCAAACGACTCAGAAAAAACAACTTAATAAGCAATACGGACTTTCTGAACATAAACTTCTCATTCGGGAAGATTCTATTGATTGATGCGATGTCTTCAAAGATTTTATAAATTTTTAAGCCTGAGAGATTAATTTTGAGCGAGATTATGAAAATAAATCATATTTTTCAATAGGAGATTTTTCATTGCTTTCCACATCGCAATGCCTAAGCGTGGCTGGTATGATTGTACAAGCATTCTGATTAAAATACATATTAAATTCCTAGGATATTCGTTTCCGTGCTTTATCTAGTCCACCCTTTGTCAATTGATTAACATTAATAACAGACAATGTAGGTTTTGCATTGATATTTATAATTTGTTTTGCAGATTTGCACTCTTGAGTTGCATTAATCAAATCTGAAAATCGTTGATGCAAATATCATATTACCATCTAAAATATAATGTTAAATTTTTTACCTGTCTTCGTAGATGAATGAAGACCACCTAACATATTATTATTTGTCCCTGCACAAGTGGTTGTTCTTTTGAAACTTTTGATTAATCTTTTATCAGAGGACCAAGCTTGAGATTGCATTCTGAGTAATGCAAATTTAGTAGAATTGAAAAACAATTAACGATTCGATTTAGATTAATTAATTTACCTGGTTGGTGACAAAGGTTCATCTGAAGATTGACTTGTATTAATCAACATATCCAGAAGATTATGCTTGTGCAATGGTGCCTGACTACGTGGTGCTTTTGGTGATAACATTTCGCTTTTCTCTCGTCGACTCGAAATTTTCCTTCGCGATCTGAAATTTGATTAGACACATTAGTTAGATATTGGTAGTTCAGTTCATAACTTTCTGATAAAAATAAATTTCAAAATACCTCGATTTTCTTTGGTTCTTTGCATTTGCTACATCCAGTATGGTATCTTTAAGACTTGGCATCAACCCTAAAGAAGTATAATAATCATATAGAGTTTTTACCAATCGTTCGCCAAGTCTAAGATCTGATAAAAAATCCTTTTAATAAGTAAAATATATTAAATTATTTTAAAGACGAAATGAACTAGTGGTGTATGGCATCGTGTCTTAAGGCAAATTGCTGAAACTTCCCATACCAAAATTTAATATTCAAGGAGAAAAATCAGTAATGAATAAATATTGATCAATGTATAGTAACAATTGTTTTAAACATTTTCAAATTACTATATATTTTATCGTTTAGAAATTGATTTATTATTAACTGCTATAATTTATTGGCTTTCAATATGTTTAATTTAAATTAAAATGCCAATATATTAAAAAAGGATACAATCTTCTTCAGTATATGGTATGGGTTTCTTAAACCCCTCAGGTTTAAATCCATACATAGATACATGAACTGTGTAAATGTTTACATGATCTGGTAAAATTGAACACAGAAACCTGGAATAAAATATATTGCAATAAACATACTATAAAATTATCTCAATTATACATTAGTCACATATATTACCTTCTGGCAGTACCTTGTTTGTGAGAGTCACCTGCGTTATACATTGTATTTTCAGCTGCATAATCCGCCATTTTTCTTCTGCCACCTAAATAAAACTATGATATTAAAACCACATACATAATTGCAAAAATAATTATTTTATTTAACAAACCTATGCCTGAATAACATTTAGCAAAAACAAGATGCCTCTCAAATCTGTATACGTCCTCGTAAGCATTTCCATAAACAAACGTTCCTAATCTTCCTGGATGCGCATGCAGATCTAAAACAAAATCCAGTTTTGTATTCTGCAATTAATAAAGACTGTAAAATATATTGAGTTATATAGGGAAAACATATAACAAAATTGCTATTACCTCATTTTCAATGTTTTTCAGCATTTCAGTCACTGCATATGTACTAGGATGTGTAAAACGACCAGCTGTGTGCCAAGTTCGATTTAAATCCAAGCCTTAGAAAATAAAATGTATAATGGTAAAGTAAATATTAAATAAAAAATTGTAAATTTATATTTTTCCGTGATGAATATGCGCTCACCTATTAAATTAGTTCTTTGATTGCCTAAAAACACACCATCAGGATTCATCATTGGTATTATGATAAATTTAATATTGTCTCTAATACAGCGCGCTATTGGATGAGTAGAAATTAAAAACTCCAACATTCCTAAAAATAAATAAGTAGAATACATAGAATAATAAATTTGACTAGTCGGATCAGTTTACTAAAAGATTTATGAAGTATTTGTAAATTTACCTTGAACAACAAAAGACGAAGGTGATTCTCCTGCATGGGTTCTTGCTAATACCACAACTACACGTTGTTTTTGATCACTACTTAGAGCTTTGTTTTCTCCTATTTCAATCATATCTACATCACGATTTTGCTATTTAAAATGGCCAATAATATAATTATCACACAAAATTATAAATCTATTCATCTAAATGAAATCTAACGTACCACACTCTTAGCAATACAGGTTCTTTTCATAATATCGGGTGGTGCCTTCAACTCTAGTGATCCTAAACAAGCTCGCAATCTAAAATTAGTAGAAAATAAAATGTATAAGTATTTTGTTAATTAGATTAAATTGAACTAAAATAAATTTACTATAGTACAAAATTTGGATCCAAATTATATTCAATAATATCTACAATTTCTTTAGAACTACCTAGAATAGCTATATGGAGGTCCAGCAGCAAATTGAAACATTTCATCTTCCTTATCAAAAGCAAATGCCAGTGAGACAGCAGTTTTTCCTGAGTAGAACACACTACCAGGTGGAATGCGTTGCCTAAAAAATATATTAAGGTAATTGTTTTGTTTTAGTTTCAATTTCTCACATTTATACAAATTATAACCAGCTTGGTATTTTATTGTACACCTTAATTTACATTAAAAATATATTTACCATTTTGGTCTGGATGTAGATTTAACCAAAGGTGTCATGCCATCTCGAAACAAATTTTTTCTATTACTGATATTCACTATGTTAAAAATAACACGCTGAAATTTAAGAAATAAAATTAAAAAAAAATACTTTGCACAAACCAGTAAGTAAAAAAGAATATTTTAATCTACTTGATCTTGTCTAACATTATCCACTGTAAAATTAAACCAGAACCGAAACCTTGGACTGCAAGTGTCTGGTCGCACGTACAAATCATATTCAAATTCTGCCACCAGATCAACTCTTCCCAGATTACCTTATAAATTGAACAAAAAAAAGTTTTATTTAAATTATGTTTAAAGTAATATAATATTGTAATGATTTACCTGTTTCAAAAGCTGCATCAAAACAAAGATGACCCCTTTTAGCTTTTCCACTGTGACCCACAGGCCTTATAACTGCCCTTGAAACGTTTCCAAGGCCTCCTTCACCATCACTATCCTCACTGTCTAATAGTAAAATACTAATTGATAATTGATTAAAAATATTTAATATTTGAATAAATATGCATGATTTGAACAGGACTATAAACCTTTGCAGCATCGACATCTCCAAATTTATACTAGCCAAAAAAGGTCTGTATAGAAAATTTATTTCGACTTTTGAAAGTAATTGCCAATATATAAATATTTATTTTTAAATTTAATATATGTGCTCTAAATTCTATCTATCGATGTTCTCCTAAAGATACATCATATTTTGATGCATATTAAATTATAATTTTGAATTTTCATTATAATTGATGTATGAAAGCACCTTCTTCGTTTCTTTGATACATGCTGGTATGTTGCAAAGGATCCCTTGCTTTTAAAGTAGTTTTAGGTTCCATTTTAATAGTGTCAACTTCCGAATCACTACTTTTATTTTCCATAATTAATTATAAGTATAAAACTTTTCAAAATTATACTTTAATTGTATGATTAATAATAATTAGATTATTTCAAGAGTATGCAAAAAAAATTTAGAATAAGAAATTTTTTTTTTTCCTATCTATATAACCACGTGGATGTTCAATTCACGTGCAACTGAATATATTCCTAAATCTAACGAATTATTTCACACTATAGAACTTCATGAAAGCCACGTTCATACTTACATACCATAATAAAATAAAATAAATAAACTAGTGGGGGCATGGCATCGTACCTTAAGGCAAATTGCTGGAACTTCTCGTACCGTAATTAAACATTCGAAGAACAAAAATAATCAGTCAACAAAAATGTCTATGAATAAATATTATAAAAACTAGAATTTTCATTATTTGTTCCTTGTAGACAAAACGTGAAAACTTATTAGATTAGACGACGTTGTTTATATATGTTGGAATGAAATATATACAAACAAAATCTAGTTAAGCGGACTTATTGTTAAAATGAACATATTTTATTTCAAATGCATCAATTTTTCGTTCGCAAAATATATGCACTGGGTGAACAATTTTAAATGGTTTATGTAGTATCAACTATACAAACTTAAAAGTATTAGAAAAAATTAAAAAAAAAATACAGACGTGGAGAACGAAAATTGCATTGACGCGCTAACCAACTCAGCTATAACGACATGCTCATGCGCAACGCTATGAGCGGGTGTCTAGGATTTAGTCGAAATTTCTGCACTTTTTGCTCTGTATCTTCAAAACGGCTAGACCCACTTTCGCCAAAAACTAATCAGCACGTCTCCTTATCAATACGAATCGTATGTAAAGATATATAAAATTTTTCATTTTCGATTTTTTGCGATTACTATAACTTACCCTACGAAAAGTTAAAAGCATTTTATTTAAATTATTTAAAAAAAATTATTTCCCACAATACTCATATTGCACTATTAGAAATCGAATTCTGATGGAAATAATTCGGTTCTTGCTTAAATCTTTTAAATGCAATATACAATTAGAATAATCGATGTATATTTTCTGTATAGTTTAAATTTTTCTGTATAGTGTTTTATGTGTAAAATTTCATATATTCATGCATAATAATATAAGATGAAATAAAAAGTTCAGAGCGAGTTCTGAATTACAAATTCTATGCCTAAAAAAATGCACTCATTTTAGTATTTTTTTTATATTTTCAAAATGAATGATATTTTGGTCGTACCTTTGGTTATAGTTAGTGTAAACAGTTAAATTCTGATTACTGTAAAAAAAAATAAGGAAAAAATGGTCAACTTTTGATTGAAAAAATAAGGAAAAAAAATGTAAACGGTGAAGAAGGCATAAATAAATTACAATTGATTTTATTATTATAGTTTTAAATTAAGTAAAAATGTATGAATTTCACAAATAAAGCAAAAAAATGCTCAGAACCGTTAATTCATCTTTAAAAAAAAACTTTTATTACCTGACATATCTAATACGAGCTTTGTAGCATTATATATGAATCCAATCTGAAACATTTAAAATTTAAATATTTGAAAGATAAAAATCATATAAGTATCACAATATTTATCGTAAAAAATATCGTAACTTTAATTGATTAATTTAATTAAATAAGTTAATTGAAATTAGACAAAAAAAATTATTTCAATCCATAATATACCATAATATTGCAATTAATTCATATATTTTGAATCAAAATCAGCTAAATTGCATTTACAATCTGTGCAAAATCTTCTGGCGTCACTGTCAAAGATAAATTGACAAAGTTTTTTTGCAATTAGATAGCGTCTCAATCAAAATTTTGTAACAAATATTAATTAATATTTGACATTCTTAAGAATGTCGTTATAATTTACTTATAATTAAATAATAAGCATTATATACAAAATATTTAATAAGAGTATAAGGGATGCTACTTTCAATAGTGTTTGAATAAATGTCGCGTGAGAATAAATCGGTTCTAAATCGCCTTCTTATTTTTACCCTGAAAATTCTTGAATTATGCATTCGAATACACTAACATAAAGTACATTTGCTTTTGAAATAGACAATGTAATACTCACTTGAAACGATTTCCTCCTATAAATAACACCTAAATAACAATTCTGATGGGATTATGTCGGAAATAACTGTCTCACCTAAACCACATGACACATATCCTACTGCTGGAACGCACACATCCGAATGAAAATACTTGATTTGTATATTTTGGGTAGTTTGCGGTTCTCTTTCGCACATCAGAATAAGAAATACGAATGATAGAAAGAGATGGATGATAAATAGTTTTGGAGGTTGGTGATAGTGAGGGTTGTTTGATCAATGAACTTGGCTTCGCATAGTAATTTATAGTTTCCAAGTAGTTACGAAAGTCAATTTACGTTTGGTGTAAACAACTAATCCAAAGGTAGTAATATCTTTAACTAACATTAAAAATAAATGAAATTTTTGCCTGTCTGCCTATGCCAAAAACTAGTCAGCACGTCTCCTTATTAATAGCAATCGAATGATTTTTTAAATAATTGAAATCGGTTGAACCGTGTCCCGAAATCGTCGATGAAAATTTGTATCCACCCACACACACATACGAGGTCTGTTCAAAAAGTACCCGGAATTTTCGTTTTTTCAAAAAAATATTTATTTATTCGTCTACATTAATGTGGTCCCCTTCAAAGTAGTCCCCCCCAGATATAATACACTTATGCCAGCGTTTTTTCCAATTTTCGAAGCACCCTTGATATTCACTTTTTGATATGTCCTTGAGCACCTTAGCGACTACCACAGACAAAGTAAACAGTGAATATAGCTGAAAATTTCATCATACTTTAGGGGCATGTATACCAACACAATAAAAAAAAAATTTTGACAATCAGACACTCCAGACCCGCGAAATTTAATTATTCGTAATTCCGGGTACTTTTTGAACACACCTCGTACATCCATATTTTCTAAAGTATGCCAAAATATCCAGGAACCTTTGAATCGTAGATTAAATAAAAGAATCATGTTTTAAAAATAAATTTATCAAAATATGGAACAACATTTACAACTTAAACTTAGGTATAATAGAAGAGACTCATACTATTTTTTTCTGCAAAGTTCTTTCTGAACCTAGCCTATGTATATCAATTTTTTTATATTATTTATATATAAAATTGCCTTAAATGTACATATAATAATATATTAAAATATATCTAAATCCCTAAGCACTCAGTAATAAAATCGATTACTTTAAACTATTTGCATTATCTTTGGATTGTAGTATGATTAGCTAGATAGTTTTATTATATAAAAAACATTCGGATAAAAATTATTTCATTATATCATTTAAATAAATTTTGCTCCTTTATATACTTAGAAAAATTTGCACTCAAATTAAAAATACAATAATTTTTTTTCAAAAGATCCACCAACTTAACATTTTCATTTCCGGTGATTTGTTTGATTTTGTATGAATTGAAATTTAGTTCGTCGGACACACACTGCCTTGCACTTTACCGAACGCCTGCTTGGTGGACAAATGCATTTCTAGACGATTTATTTCCAAATTTCTTATACATCCAATAAAAGGTACTCGTGCAGTTACTCCACGGACTTTAGCAAAATGAGGATGACCACCGATAAGCAATGGTCTGGAAGTTTCCGTCATTATAGGCGCCAAGGAATCGATGTGCGGTTCTACAACAATACTATCGACTACTAAACTTAGCAAATATTTAACTTTTACTGCCTCCACAGAATGCCAATTTCCGTCGCAGAAGAAATGTGGATATGGCGGTGTGAAAGTAGTCACCATGGGTCCTTTTCCACTGTCTACTGTAAAGTTTATAGTTCCATTTATCATTTGCAGAATCAAATAATCCTCTTTCCATGTACGGAAGCTAATAAACCGTTGTTAGTTCTAGCTTTGATGTCCATTTTGATGTTAAAGTCACTACCAACTCTGAATCTATCCTTTATCTTTAAGTAGCCACCGCTCATGTACATTCCTGGTTCGACAGCATCAGCACAAGGTATCACACCTGTGCTCTTGAATCTATCATTCACAGAAACGTCGTTTAGTTTGAAATTTCTCAGGCAACCATCAAATGTATCATTCATATCCATGATATTGTTCTTAATTTGTTTCGAGTAGTCAGGATCGATGCCTCCCAGGTAGAAAGGTGCTTCCATATTCAATGTCTTGTATTTCCACTAGACGCTCCAGTCGCCACCTCGATGCCATCTATTTATTAAACTGCCCGTAGTATGCACTCTCGAGAACTCAACAGTATGCCATAGTCCATCGTGCAATTGCTCATTTGCTGTCAAGTGTGCGGGTCCCGAACCGCAGTTGAATGAGTAGTAGTAAAGTTTACCGTCCATCATATACAAAGCGACAAAATCAACATGACGAGCATCAGCTGCATAGAATATAATTCCGTTTCCAATTGCAGTTCTAAATTCTATTGAAAATTTGAATTTGTTTTTATATTTTCCAGGTAAAGACTCAAATTGCAGTCGACTGTTGGTAGTTGTTCCAAAACGATAGCCATCTTCAAAAGTGGCCTCTAGAACAGGATCTACAGATAATTTACATTGATCGCTTTTTTTAGGAACTTCTGCTGGTTTAGCATGAGGGCCAAATGGTATGGGGTCGACAGACGGTTTCGCTGGTTTATTATGATGAATTGGTTTTTCAGTAACAACGTCAGGTAAAATTTCATTTTCAAAAAAGTCATCGTGTGTTGTCTGATATACAGGTGGTTCCGTGACAAATTCTGGCGGAACGTAAGGCTTTTCTGGAGGTTCTGGGTGTGGTTCTGGATCTATCTCATTCTCAAAGTCTTCATTTACAGGATGAGATGTAGCAGTTTCGGAATGAGTAGGATGTTCATCGAAAATAGGTACTCGAGGTTCGATGTCTATAGGAGATTTTTCGTGTGTACACGTGCCTAAAATATCACCGACCTGAAAGATTTAATGATATTGCATGAAATGTTATAGCTATGTAAAATAATAATCAATTTTACATTTTTAGATTATGGCACATGAAACTAACGCTTCTCCTATGGTCTCAAAGGTCTTTGTTTTATTGAAAAGTATATTAATCGGCACACAAGTATAGAGTGTAAAATTATTGATGCAAGGCAATCAGAATAAATGTCAGAAATTCAAACTTTTAAGTTAATTATTTATAATATTGCTTACTGTAAGTTATTTTATTCGATATTACTTACCCTATCAGTAGAGTTTGCAAAGTTTATAACAACTCCATTGAGCGTAGCATCGCCGATACATCCAAAGAATGAATCTTCGGATGCACTAGTTCCGCTCGCAATGCTGTAGCCTTGGGCAGACCACCTATCCACAAATCACCATACATCATGTGCAACATAGGCGGTGAACCATCCGAACTGCAATTTTTACAATGTGTCAATTCATAAATATCAGAACTTGTGAAATGATATGCATAAATCCAAAGATCAGTGTCATGTTTGATAAGAATATTTAATATTTTTTAGATTATTTTTATTACCTATATTGACGAGTGTCATCGACGTCCAGCTTCAGAGCATTGGGTTCGTGTGTTACTGTTACTACATGCCATTCCCCGTTGCTGTAGTTATTATCCTTTGTGACCAACTCTTCCCTTTGACTCCTGAAGTGTAATCTGCCTTGCACCAAAGACAATGATACAGTAGCTGTTTGATCGTGATTGCTAGCATAGAATATCAACCCATCGCTATAGTACGTCTTGAATTTCAAATTAATCTGGAATAAGTTGGCAGCTGAAATATTTGGCCGCCTCACATATCCCGGAGACTGAATATCAAATGATACTATTCTTTCAAATTTACTGGGGCAACCAGGTTTAACCGCTACAGCACGCAAATTGGAACTCAAGTCAATGGGTGTGCCTGTGATTTGTACTCCATCTATACAGCCATCGAAACCCATATTGGTAACATTGGACACATTATGTTTCATAGGATATCCACCGAAGAACAAACGATCAGATTCTTGCAACATTTCCACTGAACCTGAGGAATCTTCTCCAGTTATGACTTCTGCATCATCCAATTTAAGAAGACCCTTTCTACCATCTCTGCCAGCTATAACAGTATGCCATTGGCCATCGTTATAAGTCTCACTTGTTCCCATAACAACTGTTTCTCGATCAAGTTTATATTTGTAGTAAATTTTACCATTGCGCATTTCAACAGAAATGAAACTTTGTGGGTTGCCACTCAAAAATAGCAAACCATTCTTGGTATCTTTGTTTGTGTTGAAATTCAAACGTATTTCTGATTGACGCCCAATTCCGCGGGAAGCAACATCTATTAAAACATAACCGTGCTTACTGAAACGATATCCAGTCTCCGTTTTCTCTGGTTTAACTAATCTATCACGTTGTTGAGCGCCATTATAATTTTCTTGGGCATCGACAAAGTTCCATAAGCCAACCGGTTCATCGCCTATTGTTAAATCTTCTATTTCATTCACTTCAAACGACGAATATTTCACATTGTTATCAATAGTGAATGTATTTGGGAAACCTCCTACAAATAGATGAGAATTTTCTTGATCTACATTAAACATTGTATGGGGCCCCCGCTTAATATTTCTTCTTTCTTGTGTACCTGAACTTTACCATCTTCTAATTCATCACGTATGATAAGTTTAACATTCTTACCCGTTTTCTTTCAACAATAAATTCATGCCATTCCCCATCGGCACATATTTATCATTAATAATTCTTTCTGGGCCGTTTCCGATATCCATTACTAGTACTGGATAACCATGATCTATTTCAACAGCCATGAAATCGTCATCTTCGCCAGCTTCGGTTTCATCTTCCTTTTCATTTCCCAGATACATGAGAAAACCATTTGGTTTTTCAGTTTTAAATAACCAGAAATTCTAGTAGATGTCGTCAATAATGGTAGATTTTTAGGAGGTGCCAGTTCTAATGTGTGTTAGGTTGAAGGCAAACACCTAACCTTTTATAGAGTTGGCTAATTCGCGAGCATTTGAAATTTGTTCTTTAATAGCATATACCTCATCATCAAGATTTTCTATATTGTCTTTTAAGCCAGCCTGAGCCTCCTCCACATCTTGGGCTAAAGCTCCAATTTCTGGAATACTATCTTGTATACCTTCCAATTGCTTACGGGTTCTTGTTATATCTTTATTAGTATCATCAAATGCTTTAGCTACTTGTTTGGCGTTAGCGACTTCTTCTGTGAGGTCTGATATTATTGGAGAAAGAATTCCCAAACCTTCTTTAGCTTTCTCGTCCGCGACTTTTGAGTCTTCAGCAGCTTTTTTAGCAACTTCCTCCAAAGGTTCGCTTGATATTCTTTCCAGAGCGTCATTAATTTCATTGGCCGTCATTTCGCTTTGTTCATTAAGGACTCTATTTTATCGACGAGATCGTTTACCTACCTTTTCTCTAATCTACAGTGAGATTTCTTTGTACAGTGTCCAAGGCTTCTCTTGAAGCATGCAGTAGCTCTAGAGCTTCAAAACTCATTTTCACACAGTCTTCTCTCTGCCAGACCGTCAACCTTGTCGCTCGCGTTCGCCGACGCTTCTTGTGCTTCGTTCACGTAGCTGCAGCACTACGATTTCGTCGATGATAGTTTTATAAGCGGGGTCGCCGCTTGTACGGCATTGTGCGAAGTATTACGAGTATCGGCTAACATATCATCCAATGTCATGGCA